TGTTTTTCAAGCAAGCAAAAAAGACAAAATAAAGCCCCTCACCACCACCGCCTTTTCCAACAGGACCATGGAATGCAATCCCTGTATTCCATTCCAGCCACTGCCAGAAAACTTCCAGTACTTGAAGGAGAAGGAAAATGAGATCTTGTCAGGACCTGCTATGAATGCAAAGTACTCTTAACATTATGAACTAGTGTCATACCTGCAGAAGTAGTTTACATAAACTTTGGTTTCTTTTGCCTGAACTGCTGAAACCACATTGATATTCCTTCTGTGTCAACCTCAGTTCTTTACTTTTCTCTAGTAAGTGACATACTTTCAGAGAAAAGAGGTATGGGAGCGGCCAAAATAAACATAACACTTACCACACACACTGAAGAATGATGTACTGAGGGAAAAACCAACAACTTCCCTTGGATTGCTTCCCTGAATGACAAACACTGAATCTGATAGACTCTCCTGCTGACAAGAGCTTATTTGTACATTTGGTAAGAATTTCAAAGCTTAAAGTAGCTTTATGATCAAGATTATGAGGAAAAGTTTTTGGACTGCTTGCAAACATCATCCTTTTACTAGATATCCACTATATTTTAAATTTCAGTTCTATTTATTACAGCAAGATGTTGCTATCTTGTTTCATTTTCCAGCATATATATTAGGATGCAATCATCTGCAACATACCTCTAAGAACTGGAAAAGATTACAACAGCAAAACAACAATAATATGAAGCAGATTGGGAGCTGGGCTTGACACCCAGTTCTGCAGTGGATTCTCACCTGGATTCTCACCAGTGGATTCACTGTTACCATGTTTCAGTTTATGCAGTTTTCTCAGTTTCAATAGGCTTATGTTACTGATGATATTTCTGTAGAACTGAAACCCCAAATCCTTATTTGTAAGCACACATAAACTTGGAAATTAAAGATTTTTCTTTTTTTTTTTTAAAAAAGGTATATCTGTGATAAAAGAGTTAAAAGCACCCTGAAAATGTTCAAATAACTTCAGCTGAAGTCAAAAAGAGTGCTCTGTGATGATCCAGCTGCTGATGGCTCTGCAGGACTATTTGAATCTCATATTCTTCACAGCACCAGGATAGTGATCAGAACATACTTCTCCAGCTCTCTAGATTCACCACTTTGAAATGAAAGTCAAAAATCTACAGGAGGCACCAATAAAATGAATTATTTTAAATTACCTATTGTTACTGTACCTGGTTGGGGAATAGAGCCAATCTGTGTAAGAAATGAGGAAACCCTCACTATTGTCATTCAAAAAGAGGCAAGAAGGGACCCAAAGGTGTTCTGCTAACACCAACTGGGGGGGGAGGGTGCAATTCTGAGAAATGAGGTCATCAAACACAAAGGGGGAGGAAGCGTTTTTACAATGGTCCTTCAGAGCTGCCACATCTTGTTAGAGAACCCCACAGCTAATAACTGCAGCTGATTACAGTATTCATTAGAATCCTGCTCAAAATAAAATAAAAAAAAAAAAGAAAAAAAACCAGTTCTTCAGAGCCTAGGAAGCAGCGCAGACCTGGTGGCCAAGAAGCCCTCTCATTACTGACACTGACAAGACAACATTTTAAATTCACTTTCTAAGACATTCCCTTTTTAATTCCCACTGCACCACCACCCCCCATGCAAACATGCCATGTTCTTCATGTAGGCTCTTGATATTTTCCTATCATCTTTTTCACCAAAAACTAGTAGTTTTTACTTTCAGACCCAGTCTGTAAATGTTTCATGAGACTACATATATATTGATCTAAAAATCAACATTGGAACATAAGAACAAACCCTAAGGAACACACACTTCAGAGCTGATCCAAAGCCCAAATTAATTATGGAAAGGAGCTGAACTTGCTGGAAAATATTTTAAGAATTATTATGCTTATTTAATCATACGTTTATTACTGATATATATAATTAAACCATTTATAGAAATGCCTTAGATATGCTAATAAACAGCACATAAGGGAGCTCTGACAAAAAAACAACCAACAAATTTTTCAGGATGGTGTATTAGCAACGGTTATACAACTCCTCTCATTGTTGCTCACTTACTGGGCCTCCTGAGAACTGAAAGAACAAGCTGCTTTAACCTGAACTTGTCAATTTAACTCTTGTCTTCTGTGGGCCAGAGAGGCAAGCATGGATTATACACACTTAGCACGTGAGCAAAACTACTATGATCACCTAACAACACACTGCAGTGTAAAATCAATTACAACTTATATACAGTGTCATAAAATTAATATTTACATTAACTGCATCTCAGGGGGCAGTAAACAGCACTTAGTTCACAGGAAGATTGAAAATAACTCATATGAAGGAATAGCTCTTGAACCTAAAAGCAAAGAACACAGCAACAAAGAAAAAAACCCAAACCACCACAAAAACACAAGGTATTCTCAGTTGCAGTGCATTTTTGAAGGGCTTTAAGTGTGCTTGACTGAATGAGGAATCAATTTATGCCTGGCAGTCAAAGCCCTGTTGTTCTGGGCTTTGCTCTTGTAAGTTGTCACACCCAAGCTGCAAGCCTTCGCAGAAATGGAGGTCTGAAGCATTTACAGAAATAGCAGAATAACGACAGAACAGAATCAAGAGCTAATTTATTCTCTGTGCTTACTGTACTTGGTGCAAAACAAAAATGCTGTTAACAGCAGAGTGACCTTACATTTACTGATTGACCAGATGGTGAGAATTAATGACTTATGTTAGCCCCAAGCCTTCTTCACCATCTGACGGCTGTTTGGTAAAATCAAATAAAGGTCTCTGTCATAGTCTTTAGCACACAAACCGAACCATCACAAAACCATTAGAAGAAAATGCTGCAGGGAAGAGCAAGGAGTGAACAGGACTGAAACCTCTGGATCCTCAGAAAGAGAGGGTTTATTTTCCACAGCAGAACAGAGACATGGGTATAGCACACATAGCAAGTAGGTTTGTGCACCTGCTGCCCAGGTGGTATCTCTTTTGCTAATGAATAAGTGAAGTCAGCCTCCAGGGCTGTCAATCTGCCACCTTTAGTAGTTCATACAAGTGCAAAGATCTCTAAAAATAAATAAAATGAAAAGAAATGCAAGTTGTCTCACTAGCAGTGATTTTGACAGGTATCTTGAGTTATGTTAATTTTTCCACCTTTTTTCCTTAAAAAATATCAGTTGAATCACCAATTATTTTGGACAGTTTCTAAAAACAAGCACACATGGAAATAACCCAGTACATCAGATTGATGGCAACAGAAAAAAAATTACACCAAGGATGTATGTGTGTGTTTGCATGTATGTACACATGGAACATTTTTATTTACTCTGCAGACATAATTCTTGTCCCATTTCCACTAATGCAAATCAAGAGCAATCTCTCTGACTAAGCTAACTTAAACTAATGAAGAAAAGGCACAAATTAAGTCAGAATCACAATCATGGTTACCAAACAACCCATACAAAATACACTGGGCCTGAAAACATTTCACATCACTTTTATCAATATAATTATATTATATTAAATAGCTCCCCATTTAAAAATATGATAGCTAAGATAAGAATTAGGCTGGATATATTTCTGAACCAAATACCCCTGTTAAGTCAGATCCTGAATGAAGAAAGAAACAATACCAATTATTTCATTACCATCCCAGAAACTGTGTTTAGACCCAGACACTACTGAAGATTACTGTTGATTTTTCAAAATTAAAATCTGGATGAAAATTTAATTTGCTATTGTATGTTTGCTGCAGTATGTACGTACTCACTGACACACACCAAAAAGAAGGAAAAAAAGTACTGAAATAAAAGTTTGTGGTGAACAGAATCTTCTCAGTCTTCTCTGGCATTTTACAGAGTTATTCCCTTGTAACATAGGTCCGACATGTATTTGAATCCCTGTATAACATGCATGACTGCTACTGCTAAACCCAGGACAGTACATAAAGAATACCTTCAAGGGAAAAAAATAGTAGCATATCTTCTCATTGACCAGAAAAGTTACCATATTAGCTCTTGGAAAATCACTTGCAAATTTTACAATAGCTTGTGGTTTCTTGCAAAACACAAAGCAGACACTAAGCTTTCCTCCTTGTTGGTATGCAAAGCATGAGGAAGAGGCCAGGAAGAAACTTGTAAAGTCAAGCAAAAGAAAAGCATGGGTTGTACGTCAGGGTTAAAAAAACCACTGAATGTTAAGAAGATAAAATAATGGAGTAATTTCTCAGGAAGATAGTATTTCCTGGGACATTAAAACTGTCTGTTGAAAGAAAAAGAGATACCAGGAAAACATTATTTCTAAAACCAAAACTTGACATTAATGTTGCAAAAGAAGGACCAATAAAGATTTATGAACTGTTGTGTTCAGGCTTCTACTGAAAATTTAAAACACCTAGGACAAAATACTATGTTCTAATAGTTAGTCACACAAGTGCTTACAAAGGCTGTTTTGCATGCATGTGTTGGTGCTACCTTAGCACAGCCCACAGAAGGAGGAAAAAAAATAAAAAAAGAAACAGAAAAGGCAACAACCTGAAATAAGCCAAGAGTGCAAAACGGAAAGAATATCCTTCATCTTTATGCATCTGCCATGCTCTGCTCACATGCAACAGGTACTCAATTTGTGCAAAGCAGTTGTGCAAAGCATTTCCTATCCAACAAGTATTTGCAGAAAACTGAACTAAGCTACAGAACAGTAACCTAAACATCCACAGCTCACCTTCAGTTTAAAGCAACCTTTGTTGACAATACAGAGCCAGATGCTTACACAATCTTATCAGACCTTCCCTTACTCTCCTAAATTTATGCAGTGTGTTTTTAAGAGCAGCGTGTTGCAGAGATAAGAAATGAGGATTTGCTGCTTTCTCCAAAACACATGCAAAAACACATCCCCTTGTGCAGACATGCAGCACACGCTGCAACAGCCAACAGCTAAACAAGCTCCCACGTGAGAGACTAACAGTGCCTCAAACCTCCACAAAGGACAGCATTTCACAGGCTGCATGTGCTTACCTTGTTGGGATGGACTCGGTACACTAGATTCATTCTCTCCCATTTCAAGAAAACAACAAACTCCCCTGTAAGGAGCCAAGCCGTGTTATCAAGTTGACTTGGTTGCTGTGCAAGTGTTGACCTCCTGACTTCCAACTGTAGCACAGTAACCATATACCCGACTTTCTTCTGTGAATAATTAGTATCCTGCTTCCTGAGCTACCTGGACTTGCCTGACCTGTTTCTCTATAAACTGACATCATATCCTTTGATCTCCTTTGATTAACATGTGCTTCAGGCAAGGCTGCTTTGTCTCCTCTTGGACTCTCCCTCTTACTTGCTCCCCACCCTTTCACTTTCACACAGACAACAATCTGAAGATTATTTCTCTTCCGCAGCAGGTGTTTTAGTCAAGATGCCAAACCCTGCAGAAAGTTTGCAACTGCTTTTTAAAATCCTCTGAATTTACACTTCATATGGAAACTAAATCATAACCATCACGCCAACCTCTGTGGGATGGGAATTTGGCAGCCACAGATCTCCACCATGGAGGATGATCATGCAGATGCAGTGCTCCTTGGCAAAAGCTTTGCAAAGAACCCAAACCCTAAATATCAGAAACACTCTCATTCTGTCTTTCATAAAAATTACCTCAAAGGAAAATGCTTACCTTGAACACTGAATTTTTGAGATTGTTATAGCTCTGTAACAGAAAGGGCTTCTAAACAAAAGGTTATTTTGCTTTACACCCTCTCTTTCTCCAGCACAAGGACACAATTTTTTACTATAAACTTCTCCAGCCAAACTTCAGGATGAGTTCTAAGAAAATATTTGCTCTTTTCTAGTGTGGAAATCAAATAACAGGTGTCCGATACATTTGTGATCAATTTGTTGAAAAAGAACACCTGTCTCTGCCTACAAAATTATCTTTAACATTTACATTTGCAACTGCCAATGGCAAAAATCAAAGAAAAGATACAGCACTATTTCCAAGGAACAAACAGTGACAAATTAAAAGGTAAGTAGTTCTCACAATGTTAACTTCTGTCTGGATTACACTCAAGACAGTCTACTCAATGGTGCTAGATATTTTTTTAATCCAGTAGAAAATAAGATTATTTAAAAAGATAAAATTTATTGTCTTGTTCTTCCCTATTTAAAGTACTGAAATATTGCTTTATTAAAACAGCAATATGGTGAGGGGGAGGAACTGAAGTCAGTTTTTCAAGGTAATTCAGGCTATGTAAAGCATACCTTTAACGTAGAATTTATGAAATAAAATATTATAAATCAAACAAAAATACTACTGCAGAATACCACCACCACACCCCCCCCCCCCCCCCCGCAACACTCCTGTCGTGGATTAAGCCCAGCCTGTCAATTCAGCCACATAGCGCTCGCTCACTCCCTCCACTTCCTCCCCCTGCTCCCACAGGAATGCGGAAAAGAATCGAAAGAATGTAACTCCCACGGGTTGAGATAAGAACAGTCCAGTAACTAAGGTATAACACAAACCACTTCTGCTACCACCAATAATAATAATGATGAGGGAAATAACAAGGGAAGAGAATACAACCGCTCGCCACCCGCCAATCAATACCCAGAACGACTCCAACAGCGATCTAGCCCTTCCAGCTAACTTTCCCCAGTTCTACATCCAGGGCCTGATGTGCTGTGGTATGGAATCCCTCTTTGGCTAGTTTGGGTCAGGTGCCCTCTGGCCAGTCCACGATGCCTTCTAGAATGCCTGGATGACTGGCATTTGCCATTCGAGCTCCTTGTTTCATTAATGCAAGCCCACTTACTCCATGTAGCATCGGTTGCACGATGTGTAAAGGAGACCCTGCCTTTGTACATCCAACCCAGCACGGGCAACTGGGGTGTCAGCAGGAGCATTGGTGGTTCAGTGGTAGAATTCTCGCCTGCCACGCGGGAGGCCCGGGTTCAATTCCCGGCCAATGCAAAGCTTTGCTTTTATACTGTCCTGGGTTCAGCAGTAGCAGTCATTTTTCACCTACATAGTAGCTGGTGCAGTGCTGTGTTGGGAGCTGGAGTACCTGCGCTGCCATCAGATCCAGGGACATTTTTTTTTCCTTTTGAAGATGCTGGACAGCATTGAACAGGGCTCTGTAGGCATACGCCAAGCCCCAGCACAGTGCCATGATTTGTGCATCTCTGGTATGACCAGAATGACAACACACCTCATTTAAGTGTTTTACTAACTTTTCTGGATTTTGCACTTGTTCAGTGGTGAAATTCTAAAGCACTGGAGGGGCTCACTGACCTAGATACTTGCCCATACTACCCCACACACCCTGCCACTCATAACTCTCCAGCCTCGGGGAAAATCTCCTGGTCCTCCTATATCGTCATACAACCCTAGACAAGGCCCAAACCCGACTCTGATCAGTTCTTCATATCAAGCGAAATGCTCGTGGGTAAAACACAGTCTGTATGCGTGCCAACATGGTGATCCCCATCACAGTCAGCAGGCAGGTCTCAAGGGTACCTAAAGGCCGTTCAAAACCTTCGGAACTCTCAAACAATGCTGTAAATGGTCTGGTATGGGGGCTGGGAGCGTAAGGGAATTTCTCCTTCACAGGTTGACCACCCGAGGAGAAAAAAGATGTGTCACTGTTAGACACTTCTGTTATATACCACCCAAAGTATAGAGATGGTGACCACACTAGGAACACAACCCAGATCAGTTTCATGATCAATGATTCTATTGTAGTACAAGTCACTACCATATAATACAGTGAAACGAGAACCTTAGCCCAAAACCCACAGCCGATAAACACTAACACAGCAAATACTAGCTGTAAGTAAGGTACGACATGCTGAAACTGTGAGATTAAAAGCAACAACATTGAGAGACAATAAATCAGCATTGTGACGAGTGACTATTAATCCAAAACAATAAATGCTTATCACAGATAAGATCACACACACACTCCAGTCAGACCTGTCATTATCTCAAACCTTCAAGCCCCACGTTGGGCACCAAAAGGAACTGTCGTGGATTAAGCCCAGCCTGTCAATTCAGCCACACAGCGCTCGCTCACTCCCTCCACTTCCTCCCCACGCTCCCAGAGGAATGGGGAGAAGAATCCAAAGAACGTAACTCCCACGGGTTGAGATAAGAACAGTCCAGTAACTAAGTTATAACACAAACCACTGCTGCTACCACCAATAATAATAATGATGAGGGAAATAACAAGGGAAGAGAATACAACCGCTCGCCACCCGCCAATCAATACCCTGCACGACCATGGCAATCATCTAGCCCTTCCAGCTAACTTTCCCCAGTTCTACATCCAGGGCCTGATGTGCTGTGGTATGGAATCCCTCTTTGGCTAGTTTGGGTCAGGTGCCCTCTGGCCAGTCCACGATGCCTTCTAGAATGCCTGGATGATTGGCATTTGCCATTCGAGCTCCTTGTTTCATTAATGCAAGCCCACTTACTCCATGTAGCATCGGTTGCATGATGTGTAAAGGAGACCCTGCCTTTGTACATCCAACCCAGCACGGGCAACTGGGGTGTCAGCAGGAGCATTGGTGGTTCAGTGGTAGAATTCTCGCCTGCCACGCGGGAGGCCCGGGTTCAATTCCCGGCCAATGCAAAGCTTTGCTTTTATACTGTCCTGGGTTCAGCAGTAGCAGTCATTTTTCACCTACATAGTAGCTGGTGCAGTGCTGTGTTGGGAGCTGGAGTACCTGCGCTGCCATCAGATCCAGGGACATTTTTTTTTCCTTTTGAAGATGCTGGACAGCATTGAACAGGGCTCTGTAGGCATACGCCAAGCCCCAGCACAGTGCCATGATTTGTGCATCTCTGGTATGACCAGAATGACAACACACCTCATTTAAGTGTTTTACTAACTTTTCCGGATTTTGCACTTGTTCAGTGGTGAAATTCTAAAGCACTGGAGGGGCTCACTGACCTAGATACTTGCCCATACTACCCCACACACCCTGCCACTCATAACTCTCCAGCCTCGGGGAAAATCTCCTGGTCCTCCTATATCGTCATACAACCCTAGACAAGGCCCAAACCCGACTCTGATCAGTTCTTCATATCAAGCGAAATGCTCGTGGGTAAAACACACTCTGTATGCGTGCCAACATGGTGATCCCCATCACAGTCAGCAGGCAGGTCTCAAGGGTACCTAAAGGCCGTTCAAAACCTTCGGAACTCTCAAACAATGCTGTAAATCTGGTATGGGGGCTGGGAGCGTAAGGGAATGTCTCCTTCACAGGTTGACCACCCGAGGAGAAAAAAGATGTATCACTGTTAGACACTTCTGTTATATACCACCCAAAGTATAGAGATGGTGACCACACTAGGAACACAACCCAGATCAGTTTCATGATCAATGATTCTATTGTAGTACAAGTCACTACCATATAATACAGTGAAACGAGAACCTTAGCCCAAAACCCACAGCTGATAAACACTAACACAGCAAATACTAGCTGTAAGTAAGGTACGACATGCTGAAACTGTGAGATTAAGGGCAACAACTTTGAGGGACAATAAATCAGCATTGTGACGAGTGACTATTAATCCAAAACAATAAATGCTTATCATAAGATCACACACACTCCAGTTAGACCTGTCATTATCTCAAACCTTCAAGCCCCACGTTGGGCACCAAAAGGAACTGTCGTGGTTTAAGCCCAGCCTGTCAATTCAGCCACGCAGCAATCGCTCCCTCCCTTCACTTCCTCCCCACGCTCCCAGAGGAATGGGGAGAAGAATCCAAAGAATGTAACTCCCACGGGTTCAGGTAAGAACAGTCCAGCAATTAAGGTATAACACAAACCACTGCTGCTACCACCAATAATAATAATGATGAGGGAAATAACAAGGGAAGAGAATACAACCGCTCGCCACCAGTCAATCAATACCCAGCACGACCCCGACAGTGATCTAGCCCTTCCAGCTAACTTTCCCGAGTTCTACATCCTGGGCCTGATGTGCTGTGGTATGGAATCCCTCTTTGGCTAGATTGGGTCAGGTGTCCTGTTTCTGCTTCCTCCCAGCTTCCCCTCCTTCCTGCAGAGCATGAGCTTCACAAAGCCCTTAGTCAGACTAAACATTACTTAGCAAGAACTAAAGACATTGGTGTTATCAGCGCTGTTTCCAGTCTGAAAGACAAAAACACAGCACTGCATCAGCTACTAAGGAGAAAAATTAATGCTACTGCAGAACCCAGGAGAACTCCTCGAGCTAATTATCACATAAAGAGAAGTTTAAAAAAAATTATGTCCTTTAGTGATTCACTGTCAACTTCTTCTGTACCCCTTAAGCACCTTTATCTTCCACAGATGCAACTAGCTTTTAGCCATATTGAATACCTGAGTATT